CCGGTCCCGCCCGCCGCAGCGCTCGGCCTGCCCTGCCCGCCCTGCCCGCGTCCTCGCCAGGGCGGACGGACATTCTAGAAGCTGGGGCCGCCCGCTCCCCGGCTGGCTGCTGCTTCTGCACGGCCCCTCCTCTGGGAGCGGAAACCCGGGGGCGTGACAGGGCGGTGGCGTTTCGCCCGCGAGCGCGGTTTCCGTTTCTCGTGGCTGACGGCTTCTCTCCCGCAGCCAGTCACTTATCGTTTCCATTTCTGCCGACCCCTCCACGCCATCTCACTGCGTGTTCGAGTGCTCCGAGCGTGCAGACGTTTATCAGACGGGGCGTCGGTAGCAGCAGAAATGCACGAGTACATCCAAGTTAAAATTTTCGCTTTGATTACTACAAATCCACAGGCCCTTGGGTCCAGAGCTTCCACTGCAGTTTGCAGATGGATTTTTATAGCACATTAGTGCTGGGGGAGATTCCAAGGAAAATACAGCTCTGAGTATTAGAACCAGCTGCAGCTTCCCGGAGCCCATGACTCACGCCCTTTTCTTTAATTGGGTGGGAGGACCCGGCAGGAGACACAGGGACTCAGTCAGGACGCTGTTTGTTTTCGGAGGGTGTCCTGGCCGCAGCCCGCCCGTCGCACCCATCGGCAGCCTGTGTTTATTTAACTTTTTTTCCTTCTCACAGTTCCAATCATAAAAACAGAGCCCACGGATGACTGCGAGCCTGCCCTGACCTGTGGACCAATGAGCCAGGGCCTGAGCCCGCTCCCCAAGCCGTGCTACGGCCAGCAGCTCGTCCTGCCGCCCGACCCAGGGTCCTGCCTCGTGGCCGGCTTCCCGCCCTGTCCGCAGAGAAGCGCCATGATGTCGCCGCCGCCCAGCGCCAGCCCGAAGCTCCGCGACCTCTCCTCCGCGCCGTACAGCAAGGGCATGGCCAGCTCCGGCCACGGTCCCCTCGGACTTCAGCGGCCAGCCGGAGGGGCCCTCGCCGGTCAGGAGGCGCCGAGACCCGTGGGCGTGCACCCGGGCTCCCCGCAGCAGCCGCCCCCCACCCTGCTGCAGCCACAGGTGAGTCCACAGCTGAGCAGTAGCTGTTCCCCGGGTCGCCAGCCGGCACTCTGTCCCAACAGCCCCTCCTCTCCACAACCGTCGGGTACCCAAGAGCCGACCTGTTTGCAGTCCTGCAGCCCAACCCGCCCACCCGGGATGGGCCACCAGCAGCGCCAACTGCCGAAGGTTCCGGAAAAAGAGTCTGCAGCCACCGGGCCTCTGCCGCTGCCCGAGGCGCGCGAGGACAGTAATCATAGTCTGGCCCCCATTCCCGTATCGGTCAAGCGAGAGCCTCAGGAGTTGGACCAGCTGTACCTGGACGACGGTAAGTGCCCGCGGCCGCAGGTGCGCGCTCAGCCTGGCGCCGTGTGGAGCGCGTGGAGCAGGGGTGTGCGAGCCCGCCGCCTGGCGGAGGAGGGCGCCCTGCCGGTGTCTGTGCAGGGGGCGCCTTCCGCTGCTGTTGGTGGCACCTGCGTGGGGGGCAGTGTCACTCACATGACACGTGGCTCTGCTCCGTCACCTCGGCCACTGGTCCCGGCGGGTGCCTGTGGCTGTAGACCCTCGGGGAACATTGTCCTGGCGGCACCGGCCCAAACCTCAGGACGCCCAGGTGTGCGGACCAGACCGCGCCAAGTGCTGTGTAAGGGGAGCGGAGAAGCCCCCCGAAGAGGACAGGCCACCGGGGGGCCTGGCTTCAGGTCCAGCCTCCTGGGAGTTCCCATAGTTGAGTGAACAATGGCTTAGCTGATAGCGGTGACCGTTTTACCTGTGCAGCTGTGTAAAGATCCTTCAGTGCTGTGACAGCCTGGTCAGGAACTCGATGAAAATATAATAAGGAGCAGGGTGGCTTCTGCACCCACGTGTGGGGCCTTCTCTCCGGCACAGCTCACGGGCGCTGTCGGTGCAGAGACGCCACCGGACGTGCGTTAGTGTGATTGGGAAGGACACCTGTCGGCAGGTGAACGGAGGTAAACGTTGGCGTACCGAGGTCGTTCTGTAAGACGAGGACAGAGACGCCAGTTGTTGCTCTCAGCGTATTTATGGGGGAGTCGCTCTTTCCGTGGGCCGAGGCACGGCTCCACTGCGTGGCCCCAGGCAGCTGACTCACACCTGGATCACCGCGCTCGGGGTCACCTGCTCACTAAGAGGCCGTCCAGCGGGTGCTTCCCTGGGCCACATGGGGACTGTTGGTGTGGGAGCCAGGCCCCCTTTCCCATGTGTGAGCTGTTCCCCAGACCAGGTAGCAGATGCCACCGGACTCGGGGGGCCGAGACCCTGGGCCTCCTTAGCCTCCAGTAGAGGCCTCAAGCCTCCGTTAGCTGTTTTCCCCAAAAATAACAGCCAAAGTTTGCAGGCCGTTTTCTCCCACTATAGCTGTGTCAGTAAATGTCACGGTTTCTCCGCCTTTGTGTGCTGTGAGCTTCTCAGTGGCCCTTTTGGTCCAAGGGGTCCTTTGGGAAGAGCAGTCGCTTCTGCGGCTGCCGTCCCACAGTGGAGGACATCGCCCTGTCCACTCCAGGTGCAGGTGGGGGCGGCCTGGGAACAGGTGCCTTCAGGGCCGAAACCCCGGCCACAGCTGCTAAGCATCAGCGCTGCCCCTGGCTGGACAAACGTCTGGAGCTTTGGGGTTTCGCAGACTCCCGTCTGCTCAGGTGAGAACAGCCCCCAAACGCTCCAGCTACGAGCTTTCAGATAGTTCTGCTCCGTAGATACTCACCCCTCAGCCCAGTGGCGCCTTCGTCGTGTGGCCGTGGGCCTGTCTTCCTCCCACCCTTGGAGCGCAGGCCACAAGGCCACTTCCAGGGCTCGGGGACTCTTACCTCAGGGCCACACTGCGTCCACAGCTGCCCTCGGCACCTGAGGAGGGCTCACGACCCGGAAGGTGGCACCAGGTGTGTGTGGACGTTCCGTTCTAGAGTCACGCTTCCTCTAACCCGTCGCCCTGAGCTCGCGTCACGTTAGGTCCACAGCCACGGTCAGGACAAGGAGGCCATGTTTCTGGCTGCCTGCCAGGCGCAGAGCCAGCGGACCGTGCCGCCCTCCCGGCATCTGGCTGAGGCTGGACGCTCCCTGCAGGTGGCCCCTCGCTTGTCTCAGGTGTTCCGGTTCAGCCCAGCTGGAGGCTGAGAGGCAGAGGAGGCCACACGCCTCCTCCCGTCCTGCCCAAGCCCCCTGCTCCCAGGCCAGGCTGCACGGCTGGGCAGCGGCCCCGTGGTCAGCGCGGCCTGTCGGGGTGTGGAAGGTGTGCAGGGAGCCGCCCGGGAGCTGCTCGCCGCCAGACCGTGGACTCCAGTGCGGACGTTGCTCCTCGAGAGGGTGTCAGCGTGGGAGGTGGGGGCGCTCGGTGCCCTGGCCCTGGGCCGCCGCTGGGCACCTGTGGGCTTGGTTCACTTAGGCCAAAGCTGAGCAAGACGGCCCACCCCGAGGCCCCTGCGGAGGGGGTGGGGCCTCACGCGTGCTGGTAGCTCAGCCCTCACGGTGCGGGCTGCAGACTGTCCCTGCCCCTCAGTCTGGCGGGAACCCTGAAAAGCCAACCTCAGGACCATCTCCCTGCGAGGCCGTGCCTTCGCCCTGCTCCTCTGGGTCTTAGCACCCCCCGCCCGGCAATGCCAATGGGCACGTGTCCCTGCCCCCCCAGCACCGCCGTCACGCTCCCCAGCTGACACCAGGCTCCAGTCCTGAGGTCCTGCCTCAAAGCACCTGCGTCCTCCGCTTCGGGGTCCCCACTCTGTCACCTACATTGTAAGGTCGGTTTCTGACGGGACATCAGTTCTTCATGTTTCCCCCCAAATATTCTGCCTCGCTCTCCCTGTGATCCGAGTTCTCTCTCCTAGACACTGAAATAATTGCGTCGCTTCCTGTCCTAACCCTCCCCGGGGGTTTCCATCACTGCAGCCCCTGCTGCGGCCTCAGTGTGCCCGCCCCTGGCGGCAGCCGTCTGTCACTTTTCTCCGGGCCCTACCTGTGTCCTGTGGCCCAGCTCAGGTGGCTCCGTGCGCCCAGGTCCCGTCTGCCTCCATCCTAGGCCACATTTAGGGGCCTTATTTCCACTTAGTCCCCATGGCCCCGGCCAGTTAGTTTCCACCATGAGAGCAAAGCGATGCTCGTCTTGGGGGTCAGCTCAGTGTGGCAGAGAACTCCCGAGGACACAGTCAGTGCATTTGTGTAAATATGCACATTTTTCATGCCCACACCCCCATTCGTGACACTTCAGTGCTGGTCCTCAGTTAAAACCACGCCGGGGACAGCCTGGAGCTGCTGAAGAGTGATGGGCTTGGGCCCCTTCCAGACGAGACCCTGATCTGCCCCCCGAGGGCGAGCGCCCCCTCGGTCCTTCCAGAGCTGACGGTGGATGGGGCTCCCGGGCCCGCGGGCTGGAGCTGGTCTGCACACTCAGGCCGGGTGGCCCTGGTGGGAGGTAGCTGCCGACCGTGAAGCCGTGGGTTCTGCCCGCACCGTGCCTCAGCCGGGCTGGACGTCCGCCCCTTTCAGGAAAGCGTGTCGAGTGTTTGTTGCCCTGTCTGGAGGCTAACAGCTCCCCGAGTCCACAGGCACTGGGAGGATGGGACGGGCCCAGCTCTTCCCAGAAGCCTCGGGATGTTCACGGCTGTGTGGTGGGCGTGAGGCGGGCGACTGGCCGCCAGGAGTCGGGGCTCCTGGAAGGGTCTTTGTGCCAAACTCGAGTCCTCGAAGCCTGGAACCCACCCTCGCAAGAACAGCCACGTCCATGCTGCTCACACCCCGACTGCTGATGCAGAACCCGGGCCATGTCCCAAGCACGGGGACAGAGCCCCCGGCCTCCACCCCGAGTCCTGACGGTGTTTAGGGGAGCCTGTGCACTTGTGCCTCCTTGAGGGGGAGGGTGGGAGAGTGAGGTGGGTGTGGGCCTCACGGGGTGGGGAGGGGTTGCTTTCACAAAGGCTGGAGGGACAGTCGGCACCCGTAATCTGACGCTTTGCAGCCCCCACTTTAATGTCCCACGTAACTGAGGTTTTTGAAGAGGAATTTGTCCGACAGGGGCAACATCAGAACTCTGTGTGGGTGGAGGAAGGTTGCGGGGAACGTCTGTCCACCGCCGTGTGCCTGGTGTGTGGGGCTCGGCCCTGGGCCGGGAGGGACGCAGCCTCTGCGGGCTGAGCTCCGGCGGCCGAGGGGACTCGGGCAGTGTGGCCTCCTTTGCCAGGACTTTATCTGAATCAGATCTGCTGGCGCTACTGCCCGTGGACTTGAAGGCATCTCAGAGAACAGTGATTACGTAACCTTGGGAGTTGCAACACCTTGTTGTGCTCTGATTTCTCAACCCAATTAAAGCCCGTCTTCCCTCACCCCCACCCTGCTCAGTTTTAATGAAGTGAGCTCAGAGGAGTTTCGTTTCAGTATGCGTTTTGCTTCATGTCACTGTGTCTCTTATGACAGCGGGAGGCACCGCAGAGCCCCTGGCCTCTGCAGGGTCACAGCTTTGGACCCTGACCCCGGTGGCCAGGGACGGTGGTCAGGACTCGCTCTGGGGCCTCCGCGCCCCTGCGTGTCTGGGTTGGCACGTGCGGCCAAACCCAGGAAGGCTCATGGGAGGGAAACCAGAAACACAGCAAAAAAGCTAAGACAGAAAGTGAAACGCCATTCATTGCAGGTGGGCTTGCGTTAAGAGGCAGGCACTGAGTCATCGCTGAATTACACCCCGGGAGAGGCGGAGGGGGGGCCGGCCTAGCGAGTTAGGCGGTGGGGGCACGCTCCCCCCATCACAGCCTGGGTCCCTGTGCTGTCCGCAGGGCTCGCGCTCCAGGCGTCCACCTGCTGTCTTCTCCTGGCGTGTCTCCCTCCCTCATGCCCGTGGCCAGGACACGTGGGGCCTCGCCGTCCTCCAGGTGGGACAAGCCAGCCTGAGCACTGAGATTCACGGCGCTGAACCTTCTGCAAGTCACTTCCGGGAGCACAGTGACGGCTGAGTGTAGGGCGGGCCATTCCCAGGGTGACGGATAGTCACTGTTCCCCTGGCCTGACCCTCCAATAGCCAGGGTTTCTCAAGTGCCACAACCACCAGAAGCCAGCGCGAGGCATGGGGTCCTCATGGCCGTTTATGATGCTAAGGGTGCCGACCTGTGAGGAATTAGAAGAGGCTTACTGCGTATGCGAACCGGCATTTTATTTAGGCTTTGTTTCCGTTTCTAGGACTGTGGAATTAAGAAGGCAATAACCTGACACGAGGGCACGTTCCACGGGAGCAGGGCATTTGGGGACATAAACGGTCACCACCTGCATTATTTACGGATCAACAAGGGGGTTTCCACTGTAAATGGCTCCTCACGTGTGACCTGCGCCCTGCTT